TGGCTGGGAGCCCAAACCAGCCAGTCGTCGAGGTAGGCCAACACCCGAACACCTAGGAGACGCAAACGAGCCACCACAACCCGTGTAAGGCGTGTGAACACGCGAGGTGCCAGGTTCAACCCGAACGGGAGACAACGAAAGCGGTAACTCAGACGCCCCACTACAAAACCGAGCCAGTCCCTGAACCGCGGATGAATCGGGACATGCCAATAAGCGTCCCGGAGGTCCAGGGACACCATCCAAGCACCCGGCTCCAAGAGGAGCCGAACCTGAGACAGCGTAGTCATCCGAAAGGAGGGGCAATGAACCCAGGGGTTCAGACGGGACAAGTCCAGAATGAACCGCAGGTCCGCGCAGTCCCGTTTCGGAACCGGAAACAGACGGGAAACCCATCTGAGGGACGACGTCGTTTCGACGACGCCCAAGCGTACCCACTCCAAGACGACTCGACAGAGCGCAGGGGAAGAAGCCTGCCCCGCCAGCCCCGACCCCCCAAAGGGGGGAGGGGCCACCCAACGCCACCGCAGGCCGCGAGACACGACCCGAAAGGCCCACGAATCGTGGGACCAGGCGCGGGCGAACAGCGCAAGCCGCCCCCCCATCGCCCCGTCAAAGGGGCAAACCGCGAAAGGGCCGGCGACCCTTACGAGACCCAGAACCCCGCACAGCGCGAACACCGCGCCGACCAGACGAGGGAGGGTCCGCAGGAGGAGCCAACCCCAAACCTGACACCAGAGGCCTACCACGACGAGAGGAACCCCGAGCCCTGGCACGACCTTTCCGGGAAGACCCACCCCGGGACCCCCGGAAAACCAACAAGTCCGACATCGGACGACAAGCCGCCGACGCAGCCTGAATAAACTGCGCCACGGCCGACTCCCCAAACAGGAGAGGACAAAAAGGGGAAGAACGCCTAAGAGCCAGAGCCCAAGCAGATTCCACGGAGGAACCCAGCACCGCCTGCCGACACGCGAGACGGGAAGCATAGAACAGGGAAACCGCATCCCGCAAAATCGGCGTGAACAGCTTCAACAAGGCAGCCGACGAACGCGCAGCCGAGGACAAGGTGCCGGACCCCGGGACGGACCCAAGCGTCCCCACATCCTCCACGAGCCAATCCGAAGACAGCTCCAGGAGGGAAAAGAACCGTAAGGCCGAACACAAAAGGCCCCGAGCGCGCAAGTCCTCCGCCACGAGCGCCGCCGAAAGGGAGGGAACCTGCACATGGAGCTGAATAACGCCCACATCGCGGGGAAGGGCAGGGGCAAACAAGCACTCATTCAGGTACTCAAGTTCACCCCCCAGGAAAACCTGAAGCACCGTGGAAGCTTCCCGCCACTCCAGCGTGCGGGAACGACAGAAGGAATGCCAGGAATCCAGACCAAACAAGGGACAGTCTGCTAGCCAGGATGACTCCGGAACCTCGTAACGGAGCCAGAAAGGGAACGAAGTCCCAAACCTGAACGTGGACGGATCCATTTCCGAGGCATAATCCGGGTCACGCAGGAGGTAAGCTGCAAAGGCCGCTCGCACCACACCAGGTTGGATGCGATAAGCCGAAAACCTCCGGAAGGACGGAACCGACGTACCCGGGGGAACACGGAACCGTACCCGGGGAGGGGCCGACACCAAATCCAACTCGTACGCAGAGGGGGGGAAAGAAAACCCCACTCCTTGTAACAATAAGCCCCGCTCAGTGGGAAGAAAAACCCAGGCGGGGTCCAGCGGGGCCCAAGGCCCCCAAGTCAGCCCCTCCCCAGCCTCGAGGTCCGTCACCACAGGACCCGAGGCCGAGTCCTCTCCCCAAGCCCCGACCCCACAAGACAAGGACGGAGCAGCCGGAAAAGCTGGAGGAAGGGGGGCCCACTGGTCAGACCCTGAAGCTTCGGCCGGGAGACAAGACTCGAATGCCTCTGCCGCCCCCCCGGAAGGGGCAACCCCCGAAGCTGCCCGAGTCTCGAGATCAAGTAACCCCTGCTCCGACCCCGAAACCCTCAGACGCTTCGGGGCCGGAAGCAGGGGCGGGGGACCAGAACGAACAGAAGGGGAAGGACGAGGAGGTGCGGACTGAACCAGGATCGAAGCGACCCCCACCCCCAAGTCCGGGTCTCGAAAAGCAAAGCGGGGCAGCCCCGGGGCATCCGGGGAAGCAACCAACCGAGCGCGTTGCAACAGACGAAACCTAGACTGCAACGCACGTGCCGCCTGTACCCGAATAGAATCATCAGAGGATTGGGTAAATTGAGTCACAAGCAAGCAGCAACACTCACAGGACTCAGGGTCGAAAGTATCACCGACCCAACAGGCAGCGTGGCAGAGGCAAAAACAATGAGGGTCACCCTGAGACAAGGGGACCGAGCAACCCTCAAACTCGCACACAGCGAGTGGGGACTCCGGGGTCACATCCATCGGACCCACGCGCCCCCTAGGGGATTCCCAGGGTCCTGAGCGTTTACTTTAAGAGGACTCGCGCTCAGGTAGTCCCAGGCAGGGTGCTGCAAACCGGCGCCCAAAACTACCAAGCAAACTTCTAAAGCTGAACCCCAGGGACGTGTACACTCACGGGGACCTAGCAGGGGGCGCCACCGAGGAGAACAGTGGAAGGGCAAAAACAAACTGAATAAAATGACAGAACCCCCCACCAGGCAAAAACAAAAAAAACAAAACCCCGCAAGAGGACAGCGAACCCCAAGGAACAGAGCCGGCCGCGATGTCGGGAATTACAAGCTGAGCAGCACCCTGCGCCCCTACCAGTGCAAACTGCCTCTTACCTGCCGGTAACAAGGGAGAACAGAACACCCAAGAGCCCAACAGGCGGCCGAAAAACCGAAAGGTAAAACGGACCAGCAGAGGCAGACCCCGAGGAGCCTGTGGAAGGTGGCCCCAAGCCCCAAGGGCAGTACTTACAGGGCACCTAGGGAAGGCAGCCCTAGGCGCATGCAGCCCGAGTACTGAAGATAACTCCTGGCTCTCGCACCCACAAAACTAACACCACACTCAAAGCACAGTGCAGTAGCGACACCGGAGCCAGAGCACACGACCATCGCCCATAGCATCAGCCTCAAGAACTGAGGTGTGGGTAGCCGGCGCGGGGGGTCTGGGGCTCCCCCTTCCCCCTCCCGGGGAGGGGGGAGCTGCGCAGACAGCGGCGCGGCAGTGTGTGACGTCACACTAATTTGCTTGTTTTCGGTTGGGGAGTTCTATCCACTAGTTCGGTATTAGGTAGCAATTTTAACCAGAATAGGGGTTTGTTTTGGGGCGCTTACCTTTCTGGGTGCCTGTTCCGGTCGATGGCAGACATAGAATGCTTCCAACTACACGGGGGCTTCTATAGGCCATTGCTCCCCTTGCCTCTCTGAGGGGGCCCGGTTCTGGCCGTGGTCCCCGGTAGGCCTAAGAACTCCATACACATGACTGATGCCAAAGTCTGACATTAGCATATCAGCCTGGGATAGCTCCGGGGAGCCGACGGGGCTCCCCCCAGAAAGTGCTTAAAAAAAAAAAAAAAAATTTAAGACTGCTCATAACCCAGTTGATACAGCTACCACCTTATGCATGGAGTCCCCGGTTTGAAGCCCGTTACAGTTCAGGTGAATGGTTCCGCTAGTGCTGTTTTATGAACACCACATTTTTTTTAAATATTAGTTGAATTATGTTAAACAAATATTAATAGAAAATCTTAACCAACAAGTCTTTTTATGAATGTCATCAGGCATTATTTCAACGAGATCATAATGAAAGTTTTATTGTTCAGTTTGACTTGGATTATGTAGCCATATCAGGTCAAATACTGTATTGTACAAGCTGTTTATAGAGCCTTGTACTGAAGAGAACATTACAGCATGTACATTATTTTAAAATTTCCTACCATACAATTCTAAAATGCCTTCTATTGTTCACACAAAATCCTCAACTAACATGTTATGAATCTACTCTAAGCATCTGCAAAAGTATGCACATGAAAATTTGGGAGTCAACTGTATATAGACTAATCAGACGTAAACCTAGCATGCACTCTGCCACCAAGGATATCAGTATAATAATAGTACCATACAGTACTTACATATAAAATCAAATGCAATTAGTACAATACACAGGATGCACAATGCAACTAAATGCATAAAAACTACACAAGCTACAGATCAGGATAAAAGATATATGGCTGAGAGACATGTGATGATGACACATCTACTGAAAAACAAATTAATATTATTTAAATATCAAGACAAATCCTGCATTATCCTGGTCCCACCTTGTGCTACACAAACATCAAATAAAGCAAGTGTAATGCTCTAAAGTGAAAAAGTGATGCATAAAATAACAAATAACAAGCATTAATAAGAGATATACTGTAGCAATAAATCAAATCATGCAAAAACATAGTAAACCCAATACAGCAGCTTCACACAATAAGCACCTGACCATACACACTCGAGACTCTGCAAATGATCTCATCTATTAGTTTAAACCAGGGTACTGTTAAGCATGTGGTGCATGGCTATCCCTTCCACCACCACTCTTGAGGCAAGATCATAAATGAATAATGAATAATACTGTAACAATATTCTCAAATTTAACAATTTAAGTATACAGTACATTTTAATGTAATATAAATATCTTCTGTCTAACTAGAAAAAAATCTATGATATTTTCAAGACCTATATTGTATATTATAGAACTAAAGCAAATGGGATGTGAACATAATTTATACAAAAAAATCTAAGTTTAAATATAAATTGTAAATGTAAATGGTGAAGGACCTCTGGTAAATACTAAATACAGGAAGTGTTGAGTTTTACACCACAAACCCTGCAGCTTTTGAAGTACGGAATATTTGAGTCTACACCTACAGCCATTTCTCACAGTTTTTGCAATACTGTGCTGTTAATTCGAGAACTGAAGACTTGGGGAATTTTATTAAGCAAGGGAGCTCAGTTGCTGACAATAAAATTAAAACAAAAATAAATTAAAGAACAAATTTATAATAAAAACTGCCTTACCATAAATTGATAACCGTGATTTCGTCTATGCTTGCCAATTTCAGCACCACACGAAAAGCACTGCAATCAAACGTTATAACTCATTACAATTCTCGAAATATGAACTAGTTCACTATCTACAATTACAGTACTGTAATTAAGTCTCCAGTATATTAATTTCAACAATTAATTTTCAAAACACTGAAAAATTTATAATGTACAGTACTGTACTGTGCTGTACAGTATAAGTACATCATTTCAATTCTTAACCATGCAAATGACTCGTCAAGCCCGTAAAACTTCTTTCAGTACTAAAATGTTTTTACTGCTCATTCATCGTGTGTGAGGTTGATGAAAAATTCTATACAGTACAGTATTGTACAAGATATACAATTAGCAGTAATCCTATACCAAATGTGTCAAAATTTGGAAATTATCAGCTTTACTGTAAGCGAATTTCATCAACTAAATTTATGCAGCTGAAAAACTATGTGCAGTTTTACATGAACTTCATTCCAATGTGTTAAAAACAAGGGATATCCTAAATCTCAACTACAGTATGTGGTAAACATTCCCTACAATGTGTTCAAGTCATCATGATAATATAGAGGAATGTAGAAACAAGGCAAAAGTTGCAGATAGTTTTTTCACCGGAGTTTGCTGTTTGTCTTTTATATTGTTTTATAGTGTCACTAAACTGTTTTATATTAAATAAATCAAAACTATAAATTAAGCAGCAAGAAAGAGAAAGAAAATTAAGCAATTAAAACAGTTTACAGTACTGGCATTGTTCCTTGGCATCACTGTATGTATTCAGAAATTTTGGATACACTCTTTCATTGTTGCAATATTGTTCAAAGTAATATTCCAAATGAAAATTGTAAGCAATGAAATGCACATAGGATAAACAAAACCTTATCTTTGGTGGGATAATTCTTAGTCCCACCAAAGTCTAGTCTAACTAGACTTTGTCTAACTCTGGTTAGTTAGACAAAGTCTAACTCTAGTCTAACTGGTTAGACCAATAGTTACTAACATCGCGTATCATAAAAATTTTTGAAAAGAGTGCCAAGAAGTAAGATCACAGAACACATGGAATCACAATGTCTACATAACCCTGGGCAACGTGGGTTCAGAACAGAGCTCTTCTAATAATAGAACCCAAAATGCTGTAGTCAACAAAGTAAAATCTGAATCATCCACCATGAGTCCCTAGGTACCGTGCTTGTTTAGGTACTTTTTCTTTGTCCTCATATCAGATACAGACGAGGATACCAACTATAGTATTGAATCATCCTTTGCACAAGACACTTGAATTTTCATGAGAGTAGATAATACAATATAGAGGACACCACAAACCTCCAATCCGATGTTAATCAAGTCTTTCAATGGGCCACAGAAAATAACAAGTTTAATAAGAATAAATTCCAATTACCACTCTATGGAAAATGCATAAACATCAAAGCAGAAACCATATATACAACAGTCAAGCCACGCTATTGAAAGAAAACGTAATGTAAAAGATTTAAGAGTAATCATCCCGGAAGATCTTACTTTTGAAGAACACAACAAAGTTGTGTACCAAAGAACAACAAAGAACCTTCCAAACAAGAGATGGCACCCCAATGATGATACTTTTAAGACATTAATGCTCTCTTGAATGGAATATTGTTGCATACTAACAGCCACATTTGAAGCTAGAGAAACTGCCAATCTGGAGTGTGTGCAAAGATCTTTTACTTTTAGTATCCACTCAATAAAACATCTAAATTAGTATTAGGAATGTCTAAAAATGTTAAATCTTTATTCCCAAGAGGGCAAGCAGGAGTGATGTATAATAATTTACATATGGAAAATATTGGAAGGACTGGTTCCAAATCTGCATACAGAAATAACACCACATAAGACCATAAGGCACGGCAGGATGTGTAAAATATCCCCACTGAAAAGCAGAGGTGCAATACGCACACCGAGAGAAAACTTGATCAACATCAAAGACCCAAGATTTTTCAACACTTCCCATCACATGGGATATAACTATTCGATCTCTTGCAATGTTCAGAAGAGAACTTGACAAGCACCCTTAAAGAATACCTAATGAGCCAGGCTGTAACTCGTTCGGTCAACTGCGAGTAGTCACATTGAACAGCATGGTTGATCAACCCAGCAACCACGAGGCCTGGTCAGAAACCAAGCTGTGGGAACATTAATCATTTAAATTATCAACAGGTAATAGGTAGGCAGGCAGGCTCTTAGCTCTCCCACTGGGTCCTTCTTTTCTGAGGTTGGGACAAGCAGACTGTGGTGGTGGTGGGGGGAAGGGGGGGGGTGCTTATACCTTCTGCAACTCCTTGAAATAAACCTGTAGCTCAGCCAATGTAAACAAAAATACAAAATTACTTCAAGGTTTCGATGTTCCAATAAATTTTTTATCTAATTTGGTATCATAATATAATTTTGATATCAATTTTTGAGTAGACTTTACTGAAGGTAATATGCAACCCAAGAAAGATTTAACAAATACAGTTCTGTACAGTATTCTTTTTGTTAGGTTATTCTCGAATAAATACTAATGTGTAGAGGTGGAAGTAAAAACAAGCCTATCTTCAGATCATCATCATTGTAAATACTATAACTAGATCTTACATCTAAAAGTTACAATATTTTCAATTAATGCTACGCTTAACTTGGCCTTTCTCTGTATTGTTGGCAGCACCTTGTATCTGTTTAATCAAAATATGTACACATGTTCTAACATTAATAACCAACGAACAAAACTTCTTTCGATATGTTATCATTTGTGAAAAAATGTGTACAGTATATCCTGTAGTAATCAATAAATTAGACAAACCAAACAACTGCCCTTGCCAAATTTTATAAACAAATATTAAAGTTAAAAATTACATTCTGAAATCCTTGACAAAACTTTTTAATATTCCACAGGAATCTAAGCATTTCCTTCTATTAATATATTGGCTTAGCTTTAGTAGCAAGTAAACTCAAACAAAATAGTTTACCAAATCGAGACCAAATAGTAAAACGGTCACCATATAATTACTGTAATGATTCCCAATATGGGTTTTGGATAATTTTTTTGCAATATGTACAACAAAAGCAAGGCTATACTATACAGTGCCTATATTTCAGAGAGTGCTTGATAAAGTTCATTCTCCAGGACTTGTTTAAAATAAAATTGAATGGTATAAAAAAGAGTATTAAAATGGTTGGAAAATTGTATATAATGTATTGATGTACAGTATAAATCAACTATAGTAGTTCATCGTAATCTACTTAGCTGATTACTTATGCTGCAATCTACTTGGCTAAACAAGTCATTTTTAATAATTTTATAATAATTAATAATAATAATTCATTGTGATGGGGAAAAGGAAGACAAAGTGTATTCATACTCGTTAGGCTTATATCAAGGTTTCCCCTCTCCCTTCCCTCAGGTCAAATTACTCACCCCACCCAGGATGCAACCCCACAACAAGTTGATTAACTCTTGGGTATCTACCAACTGCTAGATGAACAGATGCATTAGGTGATAGGAAATGCGTCCAACAATTTCTGTCCCACCTAGGATTTGAACCAGAATTTCTCAATTGCGAGTCGAGAATGAACCCGACTGTGCTATCGAGACCCCTTATATTTTCCATTTCTTGAGCTCAACACGTGCCTTTGAAATCTTTTGGTAAAAACTCTCAAGAGGGGTACAGTGTACATAAATAAATTACACAAAAAAATATAACATGCTCCAAAGGCTATAAATTTATAACAAATTATTTTCTGCAATGAAGCAAAATACTGTACATTTTTACTCAAGTGGTATACATATTAAAAAGATTACCAAGTCATATAATTCAGAATATTGCCAAGTCCTCAACTGTATACTGTACATTAAAACAGATCTAAAAGGCACTTCTCTTCAAATACATCCCCTTAGTCAATGTTATTTGTTCTATCATAGGTTCCCATAAACAAACAACATAACTTAGTTTGGCTCTAACAATCAGTCACTACTTTAAGCTTTTTGCAATATGATTTAACCTAACCTGATCCTAATCAGACCTAAATCAGAGGGCGCCTGACATCTGAGTAATTACCTAAGTGTAATTACCTAAGTGTAGTTACAGGATGAGAGCTACGCTCGTGGTGTCCCGTCTTCCCAGCACTCTTTGTCATATAACGCTTTGAAACTACTGACGGTCTTGGCCTCCACCACCTTCTCACTTAACTTGTTCCAACCGTCTGCCACTCTATTTGCGAAGGTGAACTTTCTTATATTTCTTCGGCATCTGTGTTTAGCTAGTTTAAATCTATGACCTCTTGTTCTTGAAATTCCAGGTCTCAGGAAGTCTTCCCTGTCGATTTTATCAATTCCTGTTACTATTTTGTATGTAGTGATCATATCACCTCTTTTTCTTCTGTCTTCTAGTTTTGGCATATTTAATGCTTCTAACCTCTCCTCATAGCTCTTGCCCTTCAGTTCTGGGAGCCACTTAGTAGCATGTCTGCACCTTTTCCAGTTTGTTGATGTGCTTCTTAAGATATGGGCACCACACAACAGCTGCATATTCTAGCTTTGGCCTAACAAAAGTCATGAACAATTTCTTTAGTATATCGCCATCCATGTATTTAAATGCAATTCTGAAGTTAGAAAGCATAGCATAGGCTCCTTGCACAATATTCTTTATGTGGTCCTCAGGTGATAGTTTTCTATCTAGAACCACTCCTAGATCTCTTTCTTTATCAGAATTCTTTAAAGATTTCTCACATAATATATAGGTTGTGTGGGGTCTATGTTCTCCTATTCCACATTCCATAACATGACATTTATTAACATTAAATTCCATTTGCCAAGTGGTGCTCCATATACTTATTTTGTCCAGGTCTTTTTGAAGGGCATGACAGTCATCTAAATTTCTTATCCTTCCTATTATCTTAGCATCATCAGCAAACATGTTCATATAATTCTGTATACCAACTGGTAGATCATTTATGTACACAATAAACATCACTGGTGCAAGAACTGAACCCTGTGGTACTCCACTTGTGACATTTCTCCATTCTGATACATTGCCTCTGATTACTGCCCTCATTTTTCTATCAGTCAGAAAATTTTTCATCCATGATAGAAGCTTACCTGTCACCCCTCCAATATTTTCCAGTTTCCAGAACAACCTCTTATGTGGAACTCTGTCGAAAGCCTTTTTTAGGTCCAGATAGATGCAGTCAACCCAACCATCTCTTTCCTGTAATATCTCTGTGGCTCGATCATAGAAACTGAGTAAATTCGATACACAGGATCTTCCAGATCGAAAACCATACTGTCTGTCTGATATTATATCATTTCTCTCTAGGTGTTCTACCCATTTAGTTTTGATTAGTTTTTCCAATACTTTCACTATTACACTTGTCAATGATACAGGTCTATAATTGAGGGGGTCTTCCCTGCTGCCACTTTTGTAGATTGGAACTATGTTAGCCTGTTTCCACCCGTCTGCTACGATTCCTGTACACAGGGATGCCTGAAAGATCAGGTGAAGTGGAATGCTGAGCTCAGATGCACATTCTCTCAGAACCCATGGTGAAACGCCATCTGGGCCAGCTGCTTTGTTCTTACCGAGCTCCTTGAGCATTTTTTCCACTTCGTCTCTAGACACCTCTATGTGTTCTATGTTGTTCTCTGGAATTCTTATTGTATCTGGTTCCCTAAAGATTTCATTTGTACAAACACACTTTGGAACTTTTCGTTTAGTGTTTCACACATTTCCTTTTCATCTTCCGTGAATCTATTTCCCATTTTCAACCTCTGAATATTATCCTTTACCTGCAATTTGTTGTTTATGAATTTATAGAATAGACCTGGTTCTGTTTTACATTTGTCCGCAATCCCTTTTTCAAAATTTCTTTCTGCCTCTCTCCTCACTGCCGTGTAGTTGTTTCTCGCATCTTTGTATCGCTGGTATGTTTGGGGGTTCGGCCTCTTCCTGTATTGATTCCATTTTTGTGTCTTTCGGTCTCTAGCCCTCTCGCAATTTCTATTGAACCAATCCTGTTTCCTAGTTCTGCATCTCTGTTTTGGTATAAATTTTTTTGTGCCTTTATCATATATTTCACAAAACTTGACATACATCTCATTCACTTCCTTGCCTAGCATCAAGTCTGTCCAATTATACTCACTAAAAAAATTTCTAAGGTCACCATAATGTCCTCTCCTGAAGTCTGGTTTTTCAACTGCTTCAACCTCCTTATTTTCTTCCAGCTTATAACGCATTGCATACTTTATTCCCAAAAAGACATGGTCACTTTTACCCAAGGGAGGAAGGTACTGAATGTCAAATATCTCTTCCTCCTTCCTGGTAAATATCAAATCTAGCATGGAGGGAACGTCTCCTTCCCTCATCCTCGTAGCTTGTTTAACATGTTGATACAAGAATGTTTCCAGGATGAGGTCTACAAATTTACAGGTCCAAAAATCTTCTGTTTTAGCTTCATATGCTTCCCAGTCTATGGATTTCAAGTTGAAGTCACCGACTATCAACAGTCGTGATCTATCGTTATCCGCTCTCGCTATAATCTCTCTCATTATTGTTATAAGACCTTCACGTTTACTATCTAGCTCCTCCTTTGACCATGTGCTGCTTGGCGGTGGACTATATGCATTTATCATCATTAGTTTATCATCCTCATAGCAGATCTCTAGTGCTATTATGTCAACTTCTTGTGGATTGGCAGTCATTATTTCCTTCACCTTTAGGTGTTCTTTTACCAGCACAGCAACGCCACCGCCTTTCCTAATTTTTCTGTCCCGTCTCCAAATTGAGTAGCCCCTCGGGAATATGACCTCATTTAAAATTACATCTTCAAGTTTTGTCTCCGTGAGTGCAACAATGTCTGGTGTCTGCAGCTGTATTACATCACTTAACTCCAGTATCTTCGATCTCACTCCATCTATGTTGGTGTATGCAATCTTCAGGAACTTGTTCCCCCTCTCCTTATTCTGGACAGTGTTTCAGATTCGTAGTCCTGAGGTTCCGGGTTCGATCCCCGGTAGAGGCGGAGACAAATGGGCAAAATGTTTCTTTCACCCTGATGCCCCTGTTACCTAGCAGTAAATAGATACCTGGGAGTTAGACATCTGCTACGGGCTGCTTCCTGGGGATGTGTAACAAAAAGGCCTGGTCGAGGACCGGGTCGCGGGGATGCTAAGCCCCGAAATCATAAGATAACCTCAAGATAACTCAAACTAACCTAACATGACCTTAGTCAAATAACCACTTCGTATCTAATCTAACGTTCAATACGAATTCAATTTAAACCCAAGAGGAATAAGAGCCAGGATGGGGTATTGTCAAATCGTATATGTATCTGACAGTTTGACAAAGCTCGTTCTCTGATTGTCAAACAGAATACATCATTAGGTTAGAATGTATTAACTTAGGTTAGGCCGGGTTAGGTTAGTCGAGGTACATTTTAAAATTCGTTGGTGAACGGTTTCATGTAACTTGTATCCACCAGGACAGGTACCAAAATGAAGAAGCTAGGACGTGGAGTACACTAGGCGAGGATACAGTCTACCCACCTGTAAACCAATAGTAGTTACTGATGAAAAAATTTCACACAAAGTATATATAGAACACACCAATTTGTCATTTGTTAGGTAAGGCTAGGCAAGGTTAAACAATAATAGAATAGGCTAGGTTTAAAGTCGAGCCAATTCATATTTGTTTTGTCCAGGGGAGGGGGGGGGGACAGGCAGCCTGGGTATGTATATGTCAGGCTCATATCAACATCCCTCCCCCCCCCAAATGTCAAACTATTGTTCCTAATGAAGATAATCAAGATGCATCTCCACAAAAGCTGTCAAACTCCAGCGTACCTATCAACTACTAGGTGAACAGGTGCATTAGGGGGAAACGCCCCTTCCCCCCCTAATCATTTCTGAAGGGAGACAGGGGGACTCGAACCCAAGATTGACGATTGCGAGTCGAGAACGAACCTAACTGTAGAAAAACCGAGATAGACTGGGTTAAGTTTGGGTTAGGCCAAGAGTTAAGTTAGAGCTGAGTTAAGATTAGGGTTTGAGGGTGTTAGGGTGACGTAGCAGCAGACCTGTGACCCACCAGAACCCTTCAAACCCCGCGCCACAAGCCCCACACCATGTCACGTGACCCTCACCTGTAAACAAAGATCGAAGTCTTCGCACTCCAGACACCGTACCCTCAGTCCATTAACATCCTCTTCACAATAGTTGCAGTGGTACTTCGCAAACGTATCTGCAAGACATAACACACCGTCAAGCAGGCATAGGGACGCGAAAATTTGTCAAAAATCACCCCAAATCCTCTCACTGGTTTCGGAACTCTAGGGAAATGTCTCTCACCCGCCATTTTGCCTCTGAGTACGCTGGTGACGTCACACAAAGTGCCAAAAGACAAATATATGCGTATTTTGACAATATATCTGGGAAATATATTACCAAAACGCTCTTCTCTATCTTATGTATTCATCACGCTGATTAATATGGAGAATAAACAAGTGGAACATAGGATTCTACAGAAAAATGGCTAGAAATGTCCTTACTGTACGAAAGCTGACTTGACGCTAGGCGAGCCACCCTGCCTGACGTACAAAATTTGGGTTGGGTCACTTGGACAGCCGCTGACGTATGCTTCACTGGCACCAAATTCTCCAATTGAGTTTTTAAAAGACCCAATTACTTCGTCCGTCGCTGTCGTATCTCGAAAATATGTTCAATCGTGCAGTTAGGGACTTCTCTGCTACGGGATTGATCTCATACCATAATATGAGGGGGGGAAACAATGTCAATATCAAAAGCGGGTTCCAATCCTGCGGCTCTTTTTCCCCTCTCTCACTCGCCTCCCTTTCTCTCCCTCCCCCCTTCACCCCACCCCCCCTAACCCTTTTGCTCTCTGACTCTTTTTTCATCGTACTCTCTTCCCTCTTTTTTTTTAAGGGGGGGGGGAGCCCCCGTGACGCATGCGCACGTGACATTCCCCTCCCCCGCACCCCACACACACAAAAAAAATGAGGAAAGACATGAGACGTTAAACATGCAAAAATTTTAGTTGATTGAAGAATAAGGGAGAAATGATCACAGCATACAAAATCGCAGCAAGAATCGGCATAGTTGACAAGGGGATCATTTTTAAAACCTGTAACTCCAGAGCAAGAGGTCACAGATTTACTTAGAAATTGTATATTTGTTTATAGAGTTTATAAGCATAGTTAATGCCAAGAAGTCATATGAAAAAGACTAGGGAAGGTGGGACACCACGAAAATATATTGCTCTTATCCCGTAATTATTAGGTAATTATATTGCACTTCTCTCTCTCTCTGTCTCTGTACATGGAGTATGATTGCAGTATAAATTGTAAATTCAGGCAAATCCAGGTATTATTAAATTAATAAAGCCATTAATACATTCAAGCATAACAATTTGGGCAAACCTTAATGTATTTTTATTTTTAGTGTAATATTAAATAATTAAGAGATATAAGTTAGCATATATAAATGTAAAATTATGAAGCTAATAGAGTTTTCTTGGTTGATACTTAATACTATAATGTTTGTAAACTATAGCTACTTTATTATTTCCCTGCGAGATGCTTTATACAAGCAGCTGTAGTCTATGTACCTTTGTAGGATTCAATATACTGTAATGTAAGTTCCAGCTAACTCGGCTAGAACAGTTACAGCCCCGCTCCTGTGGCAGGTAAGTCCACTCCGGGCTCTCCATAGCCCGTGCTACTTGGAACGTTTTGTTCCGAGTTGTTGAATCTAAAACAATAACAATTAACTCGGCTTCATATTCTAAAAGAATAGCCCGTCACTGATGTCATTATACATACATTTTTATTTGAGTTTAATCTACTCAGAACGCGACAAAAAAATATTTCCCGATTGCCCTTATATTTGACATAAGTAATTCCTTTTATACCGTTAATCAGTTGTTTCCCCTCTTTCTTGGTTTCCGGTTCTCATGGGTTGGCCTCATATAATTGTCTCTACTGCTCTCCAGATAATAATTTTGCTACTGACAAAAGCCTCGGGAGGGTTGAAAGCGCTTTAGCTAAGTATTTCCGCTGTCAAATGTGGTTTCATTGCATTCAACAGATCGGCGATTAATCTCAGGACGGCTGGAATATCTGAACAGACTGAACTACTGAGAAAGTTAAGTATAAGTTTTTTGTGATCAAATATCTAAATGACCAATTCACTTGTAGTAATAGTATAAATATATGTGCAGTTAGTGGATTTGATCAACCATGCCCTCTTCTATTAAACTTGGACACATACACTCTTTATAACTATATATGTGAATGCCTTGTTATCAGTGATTTTTACTAACTGGCATGATATCCTTCGAGCTGTGTAACTATTTCATTAACTCACTGAATGAAAGATATTCATACCCAAAGTTTGCTATAGTGCTTTGACTCACTTTCCATGTTTTTCCATGTACATATCTAAGCATCCTGGGGGAATGGGAATATTAAATGGGCTCTTATAGCTAGCTCTTGATCTATACACTCGCCTGGCGTTCCGCGAGCGCTATGTCATGGGTTCGTATCCTGGCCGGGGAGGATTTACTGGGCGCAATTCCTTAACTCTAGCCTCTGTTTAACGCAACAGTAAAATGTGTACTTGGATGAAAAAACGATTCTTCGCGGCAGGGGATCGTATTCCAGGGACCATAGGATTAAGGACTTGCCCGAAACGCTACGCGTACTAGTGGCTGTACAAGAATGTAACAACTCTTGTATATATCTCAAAAAAAAAAAATATATAGTATATTTAGAATATGATAGCAATACACTACTGTGTACCTAAGGTTGTTAATAATAAAGCAAATAATAAAGACAGTTGTGAGCTTCTTGACTCATATTACTATTATTTTACAAATTATTAAACATGATACTTTTCCGTTGGTAGCACTATAGATAAGAAAAATGTGATTTCTTTGTGCATGTAGCACTGGATGGGGGGCGGTGTGCAGGACAAACATAAATTGTGACACTAGCTCTCCACATATGTCAGTTGCTTAATTTAGAACCTGTACTTGAGGTCGATCTCGAACCCATTGTTGATGTGACGACTTATATTGAATTCTGTAACTAGCTCATCAAGATTGTAACTTGCTTAGCTAAATGAATTGTGGGGTTCAGTCCCTGAGCCCATTATGTGCCTCTGTAACCCTTTCCACAACCGCCCACAAGATGGGTATGGGGTGCATAATAAATGAACTAAACTAAACTGTAACACTATATAGATCTTGAAGGCTATTACGTGTGGGCTCAGTCACATGTATGATAAAGGAGTCATGTATATGTGATCAAGAAATTGCTTTCCTTTCGTTTGTGATGTTATATAGATTCATCCAATATAGTACTGACTCGTGGTTAAAATCCTCCATTAAGAGAATTTATGCTTCATCTTCTGCCTTTATCACATGATGCAGGTCTGTAACTTCCTCTACCATTGACGTGTCTGCTCTGAAAAACACTTTCACTATCAACTTCCTACCATTATGCATGAGCTATTATATTGTACCATATATAACGGTGTCAATATCAATTTGCTATCATTATGCATGAACTATTATGTTTTACCATATATATAACGGTTTCAAGCTCAACAAGCCACAATGTAGGACTGAGAACAGGAGATGCTTTTTCACCCACCGTGTTATAATCCTATGGAACCGCCTACCCGCCGAAGTTGTACCTGCCAAAACTGTGTTTTTTAATATATACCTGGAAAAGATCGTCAAAGCAAATGGAGGAGACCTTCGACAAGCCGCCGGCTTCCTGTCCTCGTCGAGGCCACTAGGGTTAGTTGCCTTCAGGTAAATCAAGTAAAATATACAGGCTACTGAACATTAAGCACTGGCTCCTCCATAGAATTGGATAGGTGCAGACCATCTACAGACGCAGCCACAGCCTTGGCTAGAGTACATCGATATGCCACAGTTTTCTTGTCTATGGCCGAGTATACCCATACTTATATACTAGGTATATATATGCAGGGGTATGTTTATTATACCCCCAAATACCAACATTTGATATTAATATCCATCAATGCAAGGAACGCAACACAATTGATCAATGTTAGAGCCCTGAAAAAGCGTTATACTGTACTATTTAGAAAATGCATGCAATAACAATATTGCAAAGGAAGCAGTGATAATTAAATGATAATAATAAGGCCTTCGGGGTTGGTGATCCCGTGTAACTGATGGTCAACACTCATGATCACTGACGTCACTATCCAAGGCCGAGAATAATCGGAGAAAGCTGACACGGACTCTATCTTTCCCTCTATTTACGCACTCCTTGTATCTGGTAGGTTAATTACACACTTGTTCACGACAAAATGGACCGGTACAACTTTAGCGCTAGCAATCCCGGGTGATGTTAGCTCGGTGTTAGTGTATAAATGGTGAAAAGTTTGAGGTTCGAGTGGGAGGTCCCGAGCGCTGATTGGCTGGCGGGGGCCTCGAGCTGCTCCTCGACCAATGAGGACGAGGCGCTGCTGAGTTCCTTTCACCCAGCGCCATATTAAGTGACACCTGCAGCCTCCCGTACTATTTCTAGTCATCATCCCATCTTCCGAGAGGATTAAAGCGCTTGTCCGTAGTGGGTAATTTGAGGTGTCCGGCCGCTATTGGTTCCACCGTGGCTGTGAAACTTGAGGTGGAGCCAGGTGACGAGAGGGTTAGGTCCGAGGTGGCTCAAGGACAAGGAAAGTCAAGTTGGCACATGATGAGGCAAGACTGGGGCATAGGCTCCTTTAGGTGCCATAGTTGTGATGGAACTGTCCTCTAGTGCTACCTAGGTGATGGTACTTGGATCCCAAGTGTGTGTGCTGGGATTGCTAGTATGGGGTTATGACCAGGGCTGAGACTCTCCGTGGCTGTCAGCTGTGCGTTGTGGGTGTGCATTACCGCTGAACAACACGATGGATGATCAGGGAGTGGAGCGATCGTCATCGCCTTCGGGCAGTGAGGAACTGGAGAGTGATGCAGATAGCAAGCATGATGATCAGGCAGATGATTTGAAGGAGTCGGAGGAGGAAAATGAAGAGAATGACAAAGAGGACGCAGACGATTCGGACTCCGATGACAGCGACGCCTCCGAAGAGGAGGGCTCGGATAATTCCCTTAAGTTTAGTGACAATTGCAAGTCTGAATCAGACGAAGTAAAGAAATCTGATAAAAATTACAAAGATACGGAAGGTACGCTGCACAGCCACGAGGGGTATGGGATGGACGCAGAGTGTTATCCAATGGCTGACTTGCCGCTGGAGGTGATCACCACGGTGGAACCAACGAACTATTCCTATCCAGTTTTGAAGAATATGTCAAATGGGGTGTTGACACACAGAAACATTTTTACGGAGCACGAACGATCTGTATTGGTGAATATTATTAACAAATATCGGAATATAGTCGATACCCGAAGCCGCACCCGGGAGATATATCTTGAGAAACAAAGTGTTTGGCAGCAGATCGTGGAAGAATACAACAGTACAGAAAATATCATGGTGCGTACAGAGAAGGAACTGCGCAAGTGCTGGGACAACATGAAATACCGTGCCAAGCAAGCAGAAAAGGAGATGTTCAAGGTACTCGACCGAGGTTTTGATGGAGTTCAAGTGAAAACTGAGGTGCCGGAGTTTGAAGTAAAAATGGAGCCACCAGACCATGATGACCGACATTCTCCCACAGGTTAGTTTCAAGTACAGTAATGATAACTATTATTAGTCTAGTTGGGCCAGATTTTGTGTGTGTGGTTCTGATTCTCGGCCATACTCTATTTATTTATGCAAAGCCTAAAAGATTTTTGCCAGTTCAGTATTAAGGTGGACAAATTCTCAGGAACAATGGAGTACTATTGACAAGCCACCACCTTCCTGTCCCCTTTCGAGGCTACTAGAAATGGTGCCCCTCAGGGAAATTCAGGTAAATACATATTTGAAAAAGAAACTTACTAATTATCATTATTTTAGACATGTAAGCTAATAAGAATCACACACACATTTTTTTGCCTTAGTGAAATAAATATACTGTAGAGCAGGAGTGGGCAACCCTTGGCATGCCAATGACTTTTTTCCGGCACACAAAACTGAGGGTTCACCTTAAAAAAATAATTAAATATCCAACTTCTTCACTGAGTTATATATTTAAGTTAATAAAATACGATATTAAGTAGAGCGATACCAAATAAACATGAAATAAAGAAACAAACACTAGAAACTGTTATGTTAATAAGTAATAAGAATATGTAGGAAACGTTCTATTTCCAAGACATCCTATCTTTATTATATTCTGACGTACACGTTTAGTCCCTTCAGCTGTTGCATCATTCGCCAGGCAGCCAGGAGTTGTACGACTCCTTTACCTCATTGTAGGTAGGCTTGTAATTGTGCTAATTTTTGGTTTGCTTACCCATGAACCAAATTTTGTCAAATTTGTTAGGTCTATGCAGTGTACGATTGTGATGAGATTTTCCGAGATATATAATTTTTCTATTACTCATAAGAGATTAAGAATTATTAAAGTAATATCTTTAATTTTCTTTTCTTTTCTTGTGCTTTAACCAAGTAAAACAAATATGAGATTGGACACTAATGTATTGGAAAATTTTGAAAAACTTACACTGATCTGATATAAAAAAAAAGTTAAATTATTGTTTACTCTTTTGCTGATGTTAAAATGTACGACTTTGAATTGTGTCACTGTATATGGCAGCTAGAATTACACCTCAAGGCTAATAACAGTAATAATAATAATTCATTGTGTTGGGGAACAGGAAACCAGAGTGTATTCAAACATGTTAAGCTTTTATCGAGGTCCCTGCAACCCCCCCCACCATCCCCCAAGATCAAATTACTGACCCTGTCCAGGATACAATCCCACAACAAGCTGACTAACTCCTGAGTACCTATTCACTGCTAGGTGATAGGAAATGCGCCCAACCATTGCTATCCCGCCCGGGATTTGAACCTTGAATTCTCGATTGTGAGTCAAGAACAAACCTGACTACTACCGGGACCCCTTGTATACAAAATATATACCCCTATCAACAGGATAAAACAGATTTTAAGTAAAAATTCCATCACTAAATTTTACATTCATTCAATCTGACATGACTTAAACTAATCACTCTTAAAATATTCTTTGATTTTTCCGCTTTAGTGTGATAATTTTTTGCCACATTTAAAAAGATTGCCCACCCCTGCTATAGGTCAGGTCACTTCGTATGCAAGATGGTACACCAAATGATTTTAAAACTTACACAACCTAACCTTATCCAGCTGATTCAAACGCTATACAGTTTTAACTACTTGAAAACGATCTTTGGAAATGCCTGTGTACGATTTGACCATAAACAACTGTAATGATTTAATTGTTCTCAAAAGGTTCAATAGTCTTATAAAAAAAGTACAGTAGGAACTGTTATATTTTTGGAAGTTCTGTAGAAAGGACAATTATTAGTGAGTTTTCAAAAGCAGTGAATCTCTTTCTGATGTGACAAAAGTTATTTAATGCTAAGTTCTCCAGAAACTGATGAGTTATTTCCATAGGCCTAGCTGGTCTGGGGATCTGTGGCTATGGAACACAGTGTTGGAAAAATTATATATTTTCTGTGTTTCATTGCTTGCAGTAGTTATGGGCAGAAAATTATAGCAAATGCAGGGGGCCCCATTTGCCTTGGGTTGTCAGCAGCATTGTCAAGTTTAGCCAGCCTGTAGTCAACGATTGGGTTCATGATATTTGTAAATTTGCTGTTATGTCCACTGTGATTTCAAATACTGTATGGTGTGTTCTGGGCCGATATTCAGGCAGGTGCTGGCAACTCATTACCTGGTCAGTGTTCATGGGCAGCACTGAATTTTTATGATGGGTAACGTTACCATAGAGTTACCTTCTTGCAAGGGTTACAAATATCTGCTTCCCTCTGTCCCTGGGAAGTTTTCCTTTGTGTTTTGTTCTCTATGTTGAGCTGGCAAAAGGGAACTGCTGTAGGAGCCCTCCCAGAAAACCAAAGTTGAATGTTCCATTCACCTAGGCTGTATGGGTTTTAAAGTTGAATGTAATGAAATTATTCTTTCGGTTGGGTCTTTGGTGGCTTCCTTGGTCCTCTGAGAACTTCCTTTGGCTGAGCTGGTAGCTAGCTAGGGGTGCTGGGCAGCTACAGCTAAAGAGTGAATGACCTAACCACTGGGTGGATCATTTTCCAAGTTGTTTAGTTACCTTGCTGTTGTCTGTTTTGATTCGCTCTACTTTTCTGGTGTTTTTTTCTCAGTCTTGAGTGATCGAGTTTTCTCGGCTCCCTTTACGTTTATAAAGGGGGCCAGGTTTTGGCTTCTGGTCCCTGGTAAGCTTACAATGACCCACAAGAGCCTAATGTAACTTGAATTGGGTAGAGCTGTCCAAGTGGATAGCAGCAGGGAGTCATTTAGAAACCACCAAAGAGGTGTTGACATTCAATGATTTTTTATTAGATTTCAATTACAGTACTGTAATATATGTATAATTACAGTACAGTATATAGAATTTTTTATTAGTACATGTGCAGTATAAAACATCATTTTGTTAGCTTCACCCACTTTGGCCTAGGATGAAAACTTTTGGTGGAAGATAAGCATTTTATAATCTTATGCTGTATTCTGCTAATTTGTGAAGGACAGTGACTTTCCTGCATTGTGTATGTACATTACAGTGTATTGCTGTTACACTTCTTTTTTTTTTTTTACTAATACAAATCTTTTGAGTTAAATTTTACTACAGTATAGATTTGTCACATTTCATATTAGTGCGGATTTTTTCATTTGTACTTTTCTTATTAACAGATGAAGAAGATAGCAATGAACCATCAGGTGCTGGTGATGATGATAGGGAGCCTGCATTAAAGAGAGCTCGTCAGGAATCTCCTAAACTCTCCAGTCTCCTGATGGCTGCTGCAAACAAACGCTCTCCATCCAGAAAAGTCAATGGAAGTAAAAATGGCGGGGCTATAAACAAGAATAACAGTGGTAGTTTCCCATACCATATACCTGCTTGCACTAAAGTCATGCATGTTAAAAAGAAAAATCATCCCCTCACCACTACTGCATCAATGAATGTTGCCTCAGCATCAGAGATACCTATATTACCAAAGGGCTTGGCATCTTGCCTCTCTATAACAAACATACCAAACCCAGGCAATGCAACCAATCATATCGGCGGGAACTTTGGATCTCATGCCAGAGATTCGGTGTCTCCAGGCAGTTCTCCTATTCAGGCTTCAATGAAACCAATGCCTAGCCTGAAGAAAATGGTACCTAGTAAACTTCAGTCACAGGGCATCAACAAAAACTCGAATATGCGTGGGTCCCGAAAATCAAGTGCTCTTTCATCCAAACTTAGGAGTCAGAATTATGTGTCTTCACATAATTGTGTAAATTCAGGACATAATACAAACATCTTAAATAGTTCAGATGCTCTCCATTGCATTGAAAATTTGGCATCATCACTTACTGATAATGACAGTGACAGAAATGAAATTGGTGAAAGATTACTCAATACAAAGTTAGCAACTCAGCGCTTAGAATTAGAGCGCCGTGAACACGAAGTCAAAATGAAGCTACTTGAGAAAGAGCTTCAAGCACAGACTTATCAGTCTCAGTACTGGTATCTTAAATTAAAACTATTACGTAGTGGACGGGAAAATGCTACTCTTAACTTGGGTGGTGCTACTAATGGTGATATTGATTAACTGGGCTTTTTATTAGGTCAGGTTTAACTGTAGGTTGTGAGTTTGTGATGTTTTTCTATTAGTGATTTTTGGATATGTTAAGATCAAAACTTTGTATTTAATGGTTAGTCTTACATCCTTAATGGTTGGTAGTTTATTTATTGTGGTTGTTGGCTTCTTGGTATTTTAATTTTACTTCATGATGGTTGTGTTTATTTCAGGTACATGTATGGCGAGTTACTTAGTTGTGGTTAATATGCAAATTGAGTCCAAGAGATATACGTTGTTACCAAATGTCTGTGTGACTTAGAACTGTGAAGTACATTTAATTATTAATAAATCTGTTTTGTGTATTTAAGGCAAAATAATCATCATAATCTAAATGATTTAAAATCCATCATGCTTATGGTGATAAAGAGTAACTGTCAGAGATCTGACATTATATCCACTTTGAAAAGCATGACCACGTCTGTAATGCCATCAATTATCATATCAGTCATTTGTTTAAGTTATTGTATTATATTAGATGTACATACTGGTACACTGTATACTCACACAATGTAGAAAAAAAGGGCAAATGTAGCGTCCAAGTTTTGTTCATAAGAAGTACAATAGCCTTCAGGTACAGCTTGAAGGCCATTCCTCCTCCTCAGGAGGTCTGGCTGTAAAAATAATTTCTTAACCCAATGATTGCAACTTCATTTTTCTTTGTCTATTCTCACTGAGAGTCAATATAGCCAAAAAATTTAATTTTGAAAATCTTGCCTTACCTTACATTTCTAATAAGAGAAAAGGTAAAATTAGTTTCGATAATGAAAAACTGTCATTTTCTATTAGAAAATATGGTCTAATCAACACAACTAGGCTGCATTCATTCTCAAGACATACTTAGTACTATAATATTATTAAGTAATGGTAATGTCTTCTCAGTCATAACAACAGGATAAAAACCCACACCTGTGGATTTGTGAAATTTATGTAAAGAATTTACACCAAGAATTTTGCACTCTCCTGAATGCTTTGTCAAGGTCTGAGTATGTGATTATGACGATACTTACATCTCAACGTCTAATATGTAAGTCTGACGTCAATCGTCGAGATGTAAGTCTCGTCCTAATCACAAACCAAACACTTCTAGTTTGGCATATTACCTTGACAAAGCACCTGGGAGAGTAATTACCACTAATTGCCAAGTGTGGTTACAGGATGAGAACTACACTCATGGTGTCCCTTGCTCCCAGCACTCTGTCATATAACGCTTTGAAACTACTGACAGTTTTGGCCTCCACCACCTTCTCAGCTAATTTGTTCCAACCGTCCACCACTCTGTTTGTGAAAGTGAATTTTCTTATATTTCTTCGGCAGCTTTGTTTAGTTAGTTTAAATCTATGACCTCTTGTTCTTGAAGTTTCAGGTCTCTGGAATTTTTCCCTATAAATTTTATTGATTCCCATTACTATTTTGTACATAGTGATCATATCGCCTCTTTTTCTTCTATCTTCTAGTTTGGCATACAGGGTATTTAATGCCTCTAATCTCTCCTCATAGCTCTTGTCCTTCAATTCTGGTAGCCATTTAGTTGCATGTCTTTGCATCATCTTTAACAGTTTGTTGATATGCTTAAGATATGGGCACCACACAACCACTGCATGTTCCAGCTTTGATCTAACAAAGTCGTGAACAATTTCTTTAGTATTTCACCATCCATGTATTTAAGGGGTTAAGGGGTTAAAAGCAATTCTGAAATTAGAAAGTGTAGCATAGGCTCCTCACACGATGTTCTTTGTGTGGCCCTCAGGTGATAGTTTTCTATCTAGAACCACCTAAAGATCTCTTTCTTTATCCGAATTCTTTAAAGATTTCTCACATTATTTATAGGTTGTGTGGGGTTTATGTTCTCCTATTCCACATTCCATAACATGGCAAATGGAATTTACTGTGAACAAATGCCAAGTGGTGCTCCATACATTTATTTTTTCTAGGTCTTCTTGATGTACATAACAATCATCTAAGTTTCTTATCTTTCCTATTATCTTAGCATCATCAGCAAACAATTTCACATAATTCTGTATTCCATCTGGTAGATCGTTTATCTAGATGATGAACATTACCGGTGCAAGAACTGAACCTTGTGGTACTCCACTCGTGACATTTCTCCAGTTCGATACATTGCCTCTGATTACTGCCATCATTTTTCTGTCAGAAAATTTTTCATCCATGTTAGAAACTTACCTGTCACTCCTCCAATATGCTCCAATTTCCAGAATAACTTATGTGTAACTCTGTCAAAAACCTTTTTTAGGTCCAGATAGATACATTCAACCCAACTATCTCTTTCCTGTAAAATCTCTGTGGCTCGCTCATAGAAACTGAATAAATTTATTACACTGGATCTTTCAGAGAGAAAACCATACTGTCTGTCTCTGTTATTATACAGTATAGTGTTCTACAGGTGTTCTACCCATTTAGTTTTAATGATTTTGTCCAATATTTTTTTACTATTACACTTGTCAATGATACAGATCTATAATTGAAGGGCTCTTCCCTGCTGCCACTTTTGTAGAGTGAAACTGTTAGCCTTTTTCCATGCATCTGCTAGGACTCCTGTACACATAGATGCCTGAAAAATCAGTTTAAGTGGAATGCTGAGCGCAGGTGCACATTCAGAACCCATGGTGAAACTCCATCTGGGCCAACTGCTTTGTTTTTATTTAGCTCCATGATCATTTTTTCCACTTTGTCTCTAGACACCTCTGTGTGTTCTTATGTTGTTCTCTGGAATTCTTATTGTATCTGGTTCTTTGAAGATTTCATTTTGCACAAACACACTTTAGAACTTTTTGTTTAATGTTTCACATATTTCCTTCACTTTCATTTCATTTTCTGTGAATTTGTTTCCCATTTTCAACCTCTGAATATTATCCTTTACCTGCAATTTGCTGTTGATGAATTTATAGCATAGGCCTGGTTCTGTTTTACATTTGTCTGCAATCTCTTTCTCAAAATTTCTTTTTGCCTCTCTCCTCACTGCCATCTAGTTGTTTCTTGCTTCTTTGTATCACTGGTATGTTTGGTGGTTTACCCCTTCCTATATTGATTCCATTTTTGTGTTTTGTGCCCATATACAGTATTTCACAAAACCTGACATGCATCTTCACATTTACTGCCTTGCCTAACAGCAAGTCTTTCCAGTTAGATTCCTTAAAGAATTTTCTAAGTTCCCCATTATGTCCTCTCCTTAAATCAGGTTCTTCAACTGCTTCAATTTCCTCATTTTCTTCCAGATTATAATGCATTGCATACTTTATTCCCAAAAAGTTAGGGTCACTTTTAGCCAAGGGTACTGAATGTCAAATATCTCTACTTTTTCCTGGCAAATATCAGATCCAGCATGGAGGGAACATCCCCTTCCCTTAACCTCGTAGCTTGTTTAACATGTTGATACATGAATGTTTCCAGGATGAGGTTTACGAATCTACAGGTCCAAAATTCGTCTGTTCTAGCTTCATATGCCTACCAGTCTATGAATTTCAAGTTGAAGTCCCCGACTACCAACAGTCGTGATAGATCTTTATCCGCTCTCGCTATAATCTCTCATTGTTATAAGGCCCTCTTGTTTATTATCCAGCTCCTCCTTTGTTGATGTGTTGAATGGCATTGGACTATATTCATTTATGATTATTAGTTTATCATCCTGATTGCAGACCTCCAGTGCTATTTTATCAACTACTCGTGGATTGGCAATCATTATTTTGTTTACCTTAGGTGTTCTTTCACAAGCAAGGTAATGCCACTGCCTTTCCTAATTTTTGGCCAGTCTCCAAACTGAGTAGCCCCTTGGGAATATGACCTCATTTAAAATATCATGTTCCAGTTTCATATCTGTGAGTGCAACAATGGCATCTGCAGCTGTATTACATCACTTAACACCAGTATCTTTGATCTCACTCCATCTATATTGGTGTATACAATTTTCAGGAACATGTTCCCTCTCTCCTTGTTCTTCACCCCTTTTTTCTAGTGATTTTGTTGGTTTGCATTTTTTTTAACATTTCACTGGCTTGCCTACTCCTATCACCTTGTAGAAGAAGAAAATTGATTTCTTCTTCGTTCCTGCTCTCATTTAGGCGTTTTACCTCTACAGAGTTGTTTCAGCTTCTCTCTGTCTTCCTTTGAAAGATCTTGTCTTAATGATCATAATTTCCCCTCCTCATCACTGAAATTTCCTAACATTCTTTAGTACTTCTTCCATCTGTTTAGCACCATTTAGGGGTGATCCTCAAGGGTCGATCTTTCCCTTTTTCATTCCTGCCAATTCTCCTGTAGTCACAGACATTTTCTTTGGTTGTAAATTTTCCACTAGCACAACAATTTTATCTACTATTTTCGCTTCTACAGCTCTTTCAGACCTAGATGTTATCTCCTTTAATTTGCAAGCAAAAAATAATAGGGACTTAGTTCGGTTGACAGTGTGCAAAAGCTTGGTGTAAATTCTTTACATAAATTTTACAAATACATAAGTGTGGGTTTTTATCCTATATAATATTATTGTAAATGCAACCATTAACCGTAACTGTCAGTGAATTTATTTTTAAAAAATTTTGGTATTGTATATTTTGTTTTCTCCATTTACATTCATTATAATTCACTGTGTCGGGGACAGGGAGCCAGTGTGTATTCATACACGTTGGGCTTTTACTGAGGTCCCCTCCAGGATTGAATTACTGCCCCCCCCCCCAGGATGCACCCTCACAACAAGCTGACTAAGTCCTGAGTACCTACTTGCTGCTAGGTGAACAGCAGCAGCATTAGGTTAAAGGAAATGTGCCCATCCATTTCTGTCCCACCCGGGATTTGAACCTGGAATTCTCGACTGTGCGTCGAGAACGAACCTGACTGTACTATCGGGAACCTATATAGAAATATGTAGAAGTACAGTTAATATTTCTACAATATGTGTCTCTTGTCATATATGCAGTAGCTTGAAAGGTTATAAAAAACTATTATTTTGATAAAAAAAAGTTTTGGGGCATTTTATAACAAAATAATGCTTCAAATAAACATTTTTTTGGTCAAATAATACATGACTTGGAAACTGTCGTTTTGACTGCCACTATCGCAAATTGCAAACAAAGGGTTAAGAAATATATTTTTTCTTGCTTGATGCTAGTTAATTATTTCAACAGAATCTTTCAAGATTTGTCAAAGTTCATAATACTGTATGCAAAAATTTGAAGTGTGTGTGTAGATAGATAGATAGATATAGATATATATATATATATATATATATATATATATATATATATATATATATATATATATATATATATATATACAGTATATATATATATATATATATATATATATCGTACCTAGTAGCCAGAACGCACTTCTCAGCCTACTATGCAAGGCCCGATTTGCCTAATAAGCCAAGTTTTCCTGAATTAATATATTTTCTCTAATTTTTTTCTTATGAAATGATAAAGCTACCAATTTCATTAGGTATGAGGTCAATTTTTTTTATTGGAGTTAAAATTAACGGAGATATATGACCGAACCTAACCAACCCTACCTAACCTAACCTAACCAATCTTTATAGGTTAGGTTAGGTAGCCAAAAAAGTTAGGTTAGGTTAGGTTAGGTAGGTTAGGTAGTCGAAAAAACATTAATTGATGAAAACTTGGCTTATTAGGCAAATCAGGCCTTGCATAGTAGGCTGAGAAGTGCGTTCTGGCTACTAGGTACGATATATATATATATATATATATATATATATATATATATATATATATATATATATATATATATATATATAAATAAATAAATAAACTGAAAACTCCACACCCTAGAAGTGACTCGAACCCAGACAGCCAGGAGCACTATGCAGCTGGTGTACATGGTACCTTAACCACTCGACCAACTGTGACCATACAAAAGACGATGGTAGCCGAGGCTATTTCCCCCACCATTCCGACGGCACTTGGTGGTAATCTTGGGCATAGTTATTTCATCGAATTGCCTCACTTTGTGGGGCCACGTGAGCAACGCAAATGCGAACAAGCTTGAATGGTCCCCAAGCATATATGCAACTGAAAACTCCACACCCCAGAAGTGATTCGAATCTGGACAGCCAGGAGCACTATGCAACTGGTGTACATGGTACCTTAACCACTCGACCAACCGTGACCGTATAAAAGACGATAGTAGCCAAGGCTATTTCCCTCACCACCCTGACGGCACTTGGTGGTAATCTTGGGCATAGTTATTTCATCGAATCACCTCACTTGTACGGTCACAGTTGGTCGAGTGGTTAAGGTACCATGTACACCAGTTGCATAGTGCTCCTGGCTGTCTGGATTCGAGTCACTTATGGGGTGTGAGAGTTTTCAGTTTTATATATGCTTGGGGACCATTCAAGTTTTTTCACATATGTATTGCTCATGTGGCCCCACAAAGTGAGGTGATTCGATAAAATAACTATGCCCAAGATTACCACCAAGTGCCGTCGGGACAGTGGGGGGAAATAGCCTCGGCTACCATCGTCTTTTGTATGGTCACAGTTGGTTGAGT